AAGACAGAGCATGCACAAAAACCTACACAGGACAGTTAATCCAGGCGTACCGTTTATATGAAAGCAAACTCTTAAAACCTAATTAGCAGAAGTATAGCTTCATCTAGGAGGGAAACAAAGCTGGCCAGATAAGCTCTGAACAAGTTTTCAAGTCTAGAGGATGACAGAGAGGATATAAAGTTAGTGTCGTTGAACTGAAAGCTCAGTCAAAGCTACACCTATGAGAGAGACAGGATGATTGACGAGATAAGGTGTGTCTTTTATAGAAGGAGAACATGAAGTTGTTTGCAGTGGTTGTTCAACTGATACCTCCAGGATGTTGTCACAGCTTAACAAAGCCCCAGGACCCATATAGCTACTACAAAAAGAAAAGCAGATAAAGAACATAAAGTAAAACATTGAAATAGTAGCAAATAATCCAGAATTGGAGAGTAGTAGCAGGATGTAATGAGGTAAAGTGGTTATTATAAGGCTGCTCTTAGAATTGCTAAGACTCAATTTATTTTTAACTGAATATCTTAAAACAGTGGCATCTCTAATTCTCTTAACTCTAATTTTAATCCATATGCTTCTCATGCTGGACTCGCTTGTACATTGTGAGAGGTTTTTACATGTTTTATTAAAAAGATGATGCTATACTTCCTGTATCCTTAGCTTTGTTAGACCATTTTGAAAGTAGGTCCATATTTCAGAGACCTTCCTATTGTCCTGTTGACTATTCCTCACAGATTTTTTTGAAAGAGTGTCACTCCTTCTTAAGGTTGTGTCCAGTTGATTTTAAAAATTATGTCTCACAACTTCTTCCTATGAAGAGCAGTCTCGGTCCTATTGTTCACTCAGTGTTTAAGATTATTTACAATCTGATTTTAAGATTTTAGAGTTTTTATTTTTTTATGCAGCAACAAGAGCACTCACAGTTGTATAGTTGTGAGAAATGTCAGTCCAGCTGTAAGTCTTGTCAAAGCACCACAAATGCATCACTTAGGGTGTTCCATATTTGTTTCTAATTGCTGATTCTGGCAATTCAGCTGTTCTTCTTATTTTCAATGCTGCCTCTGATACAGTAGATCATGACATTTTGAAATCAAGGCTTGAGCACTTTGTTGATATTACTGTAAAGGCCTGGCAAAAACAGTTAGTCATACCTAACTGAAAACTTTATTTCCACTTGGAACGGTTTTCCTCTCCGGTTTCTCCTTGTTAATATGTTTTACCATGAGGCTCCACATTGAGTCCTGATTTTATTCTCTTGGGTTCATTGAAATTAATCAAACTGTTAAGGACTCTTAAATGATAGTGAGCAGCTCTCTCGTTAAGCTGCTGCTTTCACCAAAGGGGCTTTCTTCCTTTTACCCTCTACCGATGATTACCAGAGGAGGTCTAAATTAAATCAAACTAGATGAAAGAAGACAGCAGAGTCTTGTGCTGAGAGTCCATCAACAAGTAGTCTCTGAAAGAGAGTCCTTCTTTCTGTGAGGTCAGCTGTAACTAAAAATAATGTTAAACCTCTGTAAAACTCATCTTTTTAGATTGCTTCTTTATCCCAGACAAGCCAGTCCTTGTTTCATTTATGTCTTTCATTGGTGATGCTATTGTTTATATCGTAAGCATTTTATTTTATTACATAACACATGTGTTATCTTGCTTTGTTTTTTACATTAAGATTTGTTGTTCTCCTGTATAGGTCTTTGGTTGCCTTTTGGTATTTAAAGCGTGTAATGAATTCATAAGTAAATTACTGTGGTGATGATGATCTCGTCCTCCGGCAGCTAAAGCCTATAGCAGCAAAATGACAGATATTACTCAAGATAATCTACTATAAGCCTGATCAAAAAGTAAATTTGTAAACCATTTCTCCCTCTTTAACTAAAGCTGGAAGTGGGTGCTACAGGAGAGGATACTTATTTTGGCACAGTCAAAGATCAGACTTAAACTAATAACTTACACTTATTATATTGCTGCTGAGAATCCTTTTTCTCCATTTTAGGGAGGCTAAGAATTATATGTATAGATAATTTCTTTTACCTTTTAATTAATGGTTTACATTGTCATGAGTAAAATGCTATGACCAAAAGAAGTACTGAAGCGTCTTCCCTCCCATACATAGTGTTAAGCCACTTCTCAGAGTTTGTTTCAATATAATCCCAGTGGTGCTGCATGAAAGCAAATATAATCAGTACAAAGAGCAACAAAAAAGGCCAATGTTCTGCTGGTCTCTCAACCGTGAGTGCATATTAGAAAATATAGCCTATTTGTTTCACAACATTTCTATTGAAAGACAACATAAACAGCTTCTCAAAGTCCTTGTCAAATCAATTGCCTTATTCAACCCATTACACCCCCTTTTAGTTTGTTAAAATCTCTTTACATAAGTTTTGTTGTCACAATATTTACTGCTGGATGTTTTCAAACTGATGATTGCTGAGTAGCTTGTCCTGCTGAGAACTCCTGTCACAGTGGGTTCTTTTTGCTGCTTTCATTATTGATACATGGTCACAGTAAGCTGAGTTGAAACAAAGCTCACAGTCAGGAGCTGTTGGACACGTTCGTTGCGGCCTGTTAACAAACACGTGCACTTTGTCTCACAGTGGGAGGAGCAAAAGATAAACTGTTTAAATGCAGAAACATAATTATGGTTAAATCTTCAACTGACAGGTCAATGCAGTTGTTTTTCGTTAACACAAGATAAAAGGAAATATTAAGAAAAACCTAAAAGATGAAATAACAAAAACATAAAAACGGAGATACAGTATAAAGCTACACTCAATGTCAGCTTATTAGGTACACATGTTCAATTGCTTGTTATCAAAAGTTGCATTTACAGCAATTAATTAGGGTATCATTTTCATGGGTTTTACAAAATGGGTCCAAAGCAGATTGAATAATGCTGCCTTGCTTGGTCCAGATAAATCTTGGTTTTAGCTGAGATATTCTAATGGCACCCAACTTTTGAGGTTTATTCCCAGAATGACAATTACTCATGTCACAGAACTCAAGGTATATTGGACCATCCATCCATCTTCTCGCGCCTAGTCCTTGTTAGGGTCGAGGTGGGGCCGGTGCTGGTACTTATCTCCGGAACTACTGGACAGGTCACCAGTCTGTCGTGGGGCAACACAGAAAGCTGGAGTACCCCGAGAGAACCCATGCATGCGCAGGAAGAACATGCAAACTTCATGCAGAGAGACCCTGGACTGGGAATCAAACCCTGAACCGTCTTGCTGCAAGGCAGCAGTGCTACCCACTGTCCTAAAATGCAGCCCTGTATCTTGGACTTTACTGGATATATTACCCAGAGCAAAGGTGGTCCAACACAGAACTAGCCAGGTGTACTCATCAAAGTGGGTGCTTAGTTTAAATATCTATTTTTACCAACGCTCCCTGTGCAAAAGCATCATTTTTTCAATGATCACATGGATTTTTTGTACTTACTAGTTTGTCTTGAAGCCTCTTGAAATATGATACCAGCCTACAGAAGGCAAACCAATTTGGTTTTCTTTAAGCACATAGCCTTGCTTTTATCATTATGATGTTTCACCCTACAATAGTAGAATTGAAATTTCTTAATTTCTTCCGACTTCTTCCTTTAAGCTCAAAGAGATTCAGAAAAATGAAACAAAATTTTGATAAAATACTGTTTTCCTGTCAGAGGAAAACCTTTGGGTCAAAGTCTATTGAGCAATATCATAATAACCTCATACATCCCAAATGTTTTAGATCATTTTAATTTTAGAAGGCCAGACTCTCTAAGAGATGTTTGCAACAAACTGTCACACTTGCCAGGTTATTACAATACAGGAAGATATTAATGTATTTCACCCAATTTTATTCATGCATCCAGCAAAGGACTACAGCTGTCAGTGATTGCAGATGAACATAAAACCTATTTAGAAGCACAGCAGACATATTTAATCTGAGGCTCAGGCTGGCTGCAGGCTAAGATCTTAGGAATAGGAATTTCCGACTTTTTATAACTTGAAGTCAGAAAATCCACGTGCAAACAGAATCCACCTGTACGCCACAGATGTCAATGTATTTTGTTGATCTGGTTAATAACAGAGACTTCATGTTTCATATTCTCTTTGTAAGTTTTGTCTGTCTGCAACTTTGCTATCAGGTAAACCATGTTGTTAGTGTTTAGAGTTTTGGAACAATTATAATCTAACCATCAAGTATATGTGGTGAAAGTATTGCGCAAGATTCCTCACAGAAACAGGCACATGTTCACTCACTTTTGCTTTTTTCATCAACATGTAGGTGACTTAATATGGCAACCCTTTTGTGTAACGCTTTGCATCAAAAGCCTTTGTATTTAATGCTGCAACCTGTGATGCCTTCGCCAGAGGGAATTCATATTTGCTCAAATAAAATTAAAGTTTCTGTTTTTCGTATGTTTTTATTTAAATTGTGATAAAATACATCAAATGAGGTTTTAAGGTGATTATAAAAGATTTTGAATACACTTAACCATGTTTGACTTTTTTACCATCTGACTGTAATGATGTTTATAATGTGCAACATTTTCAAAGGATTTTATGCATCAGTCTGTTTATCTAAATTGCAAGCATAAGAAGTTTGCAAATTCCTGCTCTTTCTCTCAGTCAAATGCAACTTTGCAATACAATTTAATCAACTTCTTAAGGAAGGAAGCTGTCTTAAAAATGCCTTTGAAAGGAAGGAAGAAGCGGTGGCATCAGCCCATCATGCTGTCACAGACAAGAGGAACTGCAATTCGCAGAAAAACCAAATCCGTCCATGTGACACTCTCTGGTTTTCATCTGTTTTAGCATGCAGTGTGTGCCAGAACACGTTGTTCTCTCAATGAGCTCTTTTAGTTGTTATTATGCAACACATCAAGCAAAAGGAAGTAGAACCTAGCAAGCTATTTAATCTGTTCTCTCATTAACTACCACTAATGAGCACTAGATGCAAACATTGCAGACTGCATTTTGTTTAATAATAAAAAAAGACAGTTCCCTTTCTTTTTTATTTTTACCCTTTATTTTTCTTTCATATTCTCACAGGGTCATCTATAACCATTTATATTATCAAGGCTTCACAAATAAAACCCATTGCTGTTGATTAAACATACAAATGTATTTACAATTTAGCATACATAGAGGAAACGCATAGCTAGTCATCATTAAAAGTGCTTTAGTGTAGTGGAAGAGGAAGACTGTGATGAGGGAAGTGCATTCACAAAAAGCAAAAAATAAAGAATGAAAAAACAAACTGTGCTTGCTGTCATGTGTTGCACGTAAAACACAAAACATAGAAACTTATAGCATATTTCGTTCACAGAAAGCTGTGTTCATTTTATAGCTTCATAGCGATAGACTTAATATCTATCATGGTAACTACATATAATGTAAACTTCGTACTTTAAAAGTACTGAGAATGTGCAACCTCACAGGAGGCACATATCTGACATTCAGTCAAACAAAAGGTGAAAAATAGAAATGTTTTGTACAAACATATTTACAAAGCATAGAAGTTCTGCTGTACAAGTTGCCATGAATGAAAGTTCAAAAGTCCATTTACAAAGTCTCTTAAGTACTTTAGTATTTTCAAACATAAGATTCCTTAGCATATGAAAATTCATCAAACACTGGCTGGCTGCATCTCCGAGACACCATCTCATGCTGCCCTGCAGATACAGACTCAGACATGGCCCTCTGACGAAAAGGCTGCCGCTGCTCCATGATGTTGTTCTGTGCTGTTTGGGAGAAGCAGTCCTGGCTGAATATGCCCTCTCTGATTGGAAATTCATAGTTGACAGAGGAAGGGCGTGATCTCCTCCCCAGTGTTATGGCATCCTGTACTGTCATGGAACGATACTCCGGAGGGGGAGGCATGTTCTGCATTGCCTGCTCATATGATGGAGGCCTGCAAGGCAGCTTGCTGTCCACCTGCTTGAACACTTCAATGGCAGACAGAGGGCGTGGCTTGAGAGTTACATCTACAGAGGGATCTGCTTCACTCTGCGAGTCCTCCTGAAGAGTCTCTGGGAAGGAGTTTTCCTTTTGAGAGTCCTTTTTTAGACTGCCTCTGCTGAAAGCACCCAAGCTCCTAGTCCTCATCAGGACTTTAGAGGCAACCCTCATAGACTGGGAACGCCTCTTCTCTTCCGATATTGGTCTGGGAACATCCAGCTTGCCGTTTGTGGTCACCATGGTTTGACTGTTGTTTTTCTTGGAACACCCCGGCGAGCCCATTGGGGAACTGGTAAAGACAGAGTTCTCCGACTGGTTGGAGGCAGTACTCTCCAGGGACGAGCAGGAACAGTCCTTCCCCATGTAGGGCAGCTGATCCATGTTTGAGCTACAGCTCAGCTTTGGAAAAGACAAAACCGAGCTGGCTCCACCGCGACTTTTCAGCAGGAAGGAGTCGTCTGAGATTTGCTTTTTCAGTGTTTGCATGTCAAACTCTTCCCGCTTCATGGTGCAGTCCTCGTGGCTCCTGGCGTGGCTGCGGAGGCTCTCGAGATTCTCTGGAACAAGGAGGATGGGCTCCGAACAGCGGCGGTTGAAGGGTGCCTTGTTGTCAAAGGCAGCATCAGATTGCCATGACGAGGTGGTAATACTGGGACTGAGGGACGAGTATGAGGAAGATGAGCCACGGCCTCCATCTGTAGACCTTCTTTTCTCTCCTGTCTCGCCATCACCATCAGGATCCGTGCTGTCATAGGCAGAGTCATGATGCACAGAGGAAAGGGAGTCTACACAGGGGGAAAGGAAAACACAATTAACATAAATAGATGAAGTATGTGCGTCTGTTTAGTCTAAAAGTAAATACCAACATACAGATGGGTGAATCTTTAATTACCTTCATCTGTATCTAGTAAACTTGGGATATTTTCTCCAAGGATGTTGCAGTTTTCAATCAGGAATTGAGATAGTTCTGTGGCCTGCAGAAAAAAAGAAAAACTGTAAACAATCGAGAAAGAATACAGTGTATAATCTGCTGCCAGAAATTTAATTTATACACTAGGACACAAGAGTTTGTGCAAATCTGATCTGACTTCTGAAACTTTGTGAGGTTTTCTGCACCAAGAACCGCAAAGCTTCAAAGCAGGAAAGGTGAGAGCGCTTATTCATTTCAAGAGATTTTCTACCTTCTGCATCTTTTCCCTCTGCCCATCTAGTGGGGTGTCATCCAGCTGCAGCAGCGTGGGCCCGATGCACACCGCCAGATTGGAGGCATCCATTTTGTTGATGTCTGAGCTCTCAAGAATGTAATGAAAGACACAGGTCAGGTACTGCAGGAGGAGTTTGTTAGGCCTCGGAAGATCAGCGAGCACCCTGGCAACGGAAGGAAGAGAGAGAGAACAGGAAGAAGATAAGTTTGGTGGTCTTCAACTTCTTTTAAGTTTGTTCCCTTTTTTCCAACTGATCAGACTAAAAAAATGAAGAAGTGGTTTTCGTACAGCCAGTAGACGGAACACTGGGGAGATTATGCAAAACAGTCCACTCAGAAAAACCCTTGCTTGCTGTTAACCACACAAGCATTGATAAAAAACATAACAAAGGACTATCTTCCATATATAAATACCACATATTCCATTAGAAAGAGGATGCGGGTAGTAAAGATGTCACGGAGCGGGTGGAGACTAACTTACTTTTTGATTTCTACGGTTCTCTGCTCGATGTCTTCATGTTCCAGAGCTGTTATCCACCTGTTGTAAAGGTCAGACCTGAGCAGGCTGCCAGGAAGTTCCTTCAGGAAACACTGCAAGCAATAAGAAGACAGTGATGAGCTACAATGCCTTTTAGTAAAAAGAGAAGCAATACATTTTTTTTCAAAATTCCTTTGATGGTTTTTTGCAAGATACTTTATAATTGAGACAGTTTGCTATTCCTTTTACTCTGTTGTAAGGATTGCATGAACTTCAGTACCAGCTTTGGAGAAGAAATTGCTGTAGATGATGTGCTATTTTTCTAACTCAATGGTATTTTCAATACTAAAAAATGTGGTTTTACTTGTGACTGCTTCATAACACTACGCGTTACTCACTTTAAGTAATCCAACCAGCAGATGGACCTGCTGATTCTCCAGGTCGACCTCCGCGCCATTATCCAGCTGCTCCCTGAGGTCTTTCATAAGCCTGGTGTTGCATGGCTTCCGAAAAACTCCCTCCACAGACGGACCCCTCTTCCTCAGCAGCACCAGCAGATCCTGGTGGAAAAGAGATGCGGTTAATAAACATGCATTCACATTCCCTCAGTTGCAAAAATGTAACCCAACAGGTGGTTGGGATAAATGAACAGTGCTGTTTTTAGAAGTTGCATTGCACATTTTGAAATTAACTTACTGTGATTGGCTTGGGAAGTGAGTAGTCATCTGGACAGATGTTGCAAAGTGCCTGTCCAAACAGTTGAGTCTTGTTGCCTTTATTTGCATGGCAGGCCTTGCTGGAAGCCCTCCTGAGCCTCATCCTGTTCCTCACCAGGTTCCATTTGGTTTCTGAAGACGACAAATGCACCATTAGCATAAACTCATAACACATCGCCTGCTTGAGTTCTACCCACGGAAAGCAAAGGTTGTTTTGTTCTCTTGTACAACCTAACCAGGCGCTAAATTCTTTTTTTTCTCTCTGCGGTTAATTTTTGAAACCTAATGGGCCCTCCCCTCTCAGCAGCGTGGCACAGACCTGCACCAGAGCAACCGAGACAGAGAGATATGTGTGCAAAAATGTTCAAACTCACCAGAGGATTGCGACAGCTTCTCATCTTGGTTGTTTAACTGCTTTGACAAAATGCCGCTCTTTGCATCACCCTGGTAACATAATAAAAGAAGAAGAGATGTGGTGATGAACATGCAAGAGGAACATGGGCATTCTAGAGCAAAAGCAGAAGAAGGAGTTGCCCTTTTGAAATTTCAAACCAGCTAACCCCCCACACACACACACACACACACACACACGCACACACACACACACACATGCACACACGCACACCTTAGCCGACATGTGTACTATGAATGATCTGAACATTTGTAACTAGAATATAAGAATCGTAATCAGCCATTTCCAATATCATCAGATATTTTGCAACAATATAAGTTTATCAAGCTGTACTGTTTATCCTGCAAGACATCTCTAATTTTGTATAGAATGTTCTAATATGCATAAAAAACATGTTTTGTTTCAATAAGTTGATCTTTTGACCTACCTCAGGTGAAAGAACAATCATTTGCTCCATGCCACCTCCTGTTAGAGTTTTAGTCTGCAATATTATAGAAAAAAAAGAAGATGTTATGGGAAATGTTAATGTGAAATGGAAAGTTTAAAAATCTTTCAGTGAAGTTCCAGCCTAATCTGGCACCGAAGACGGCAAAAGACTTACAGCGATGCTGCCACTCAACACCTTCATGAGGACGTCGGGAGGTGGAGAAGAACAAGCAGTCCTCGATTTTGCGCCTCTAATTTTTCTACAATAGAGATAAATTAAGGTTAATTTAAAAAGATGCATCATTTTTCTATTTGTCTGCCTCAACTTTGATCCTTTCAATAAAATGTCTTTCATGATCTTAGAGGGACGGTTTGGGTTAGGGTTTAAGCATCCTTATCGGTTTCTATGTTTATAGTAAATTAAACTACCCTTTCAGGTCTTCTATTAACTTATTAACTGTTCTAATTGATCTGAACCTGTGCAGCTCAGCTTCATCAATAATTATTAGTAATCATTAGTATTTACATAAAGCAACAACCACGAAAATGATATAAAGGCTTAAATATCAGCCTTACCTGTGAAGAGTATCTAACCAGCGTTCTTTCACCTCAGGCGAGCTGGGGGTGAGAAAACAGCATGGTATGAGTTACTAAATCCACAGAGAGAACCAGGCGAGCTCTCGGCCGACAGTGGGAGGAATGAGGCGAGCCGTGCTCTCACGCCTCTTTTAACAACTCTGGTTGGAAAGTGCATCACAGTCATGGGGAGAGGAAGCAACGTCACGGCATGCCCCATTCAGACACCTTCCACTTCCTACAGCACTAGTGTGGCTTTGTGTCCGCCAGTGGAAACAGGACGGCGACGCAGATACGTGTGTCTACGTTTACACCTGTGAGGTTTCACCATTATTAACATAAAGTTCATGCCAGCTGATGCTCATGTTTATCAGCGCATCTGTTAAAACCCAGGCACTCTGTTTCTGTAAGGCTGCAACTGCAGATGAATCTGAAACCTTCTCTCTGTGAATCATAACTTAAGTCCAGTCAGACAAAAAGAAGGGTTCTCATCTTTTCAAAAACAACTCAAAACCCAATTGGGTATTAATCAGCTTCTTGGAATACAAAAATGGGTGAAAAACAGCCTCAGTGTTTGATTTGATGACTTTGCGAGAAACGTGGGAGTCACTGAGCACCACAAATGAGCTATTTGTCATCTGGGGCCACTTAATGGATCAGAAATTCACAGCAGGAAAAAAAATACACTTTCATTCCTCTTCAGATAATCAGAAAGTCTGCACCATAAAGGATGAGTAAGGTTTCTCCTGCACTTCATCCTTACAGTAAAACCCTGCATTTCTTGCCAGTGTCTGTTAATCCCCGTGTTTAGCGACAATGTCCAAACTTCCTTTTTTTTTTTTGGCTTTTGTCTTGTGATGCTTCAGGACGACTTTCTTTTTGCTACTTCTTCATTTTCCTAAAGGCCACACATCATATGACCGTTTACTACTGTATGTGTACACATGTTCTTGGTTAATGACTTGCAAAAAAAAAAAGGTATTTTGTAGAAAAAAAAAACTTTGCTGAAAGTTTGTATTCACACAAAGTTATTTTACATTTTGCAAATGAAAACCATTTATTTGGATGGGAATTTTCACATTGATCAACATAATGTAGTGCATTGTAAAGTGATAATAAAATGAACGATAGTTTTCTAAATATCCTAGGAAAGAAATTTTCAAAAGTGTGCATATGTATTCCGTCTCAAAGACTCCAACAGCCCTAAAAGAAATCAAGCTTAAATGATTGCCCTCAATAGCCATCTAAATAGTTCAACTGACTGTACAATATAAATATTGGTTTATTTTGTCAAGAGAGATTTGTTTAGTCCAAATCGTATGGCACAAAGAAATGTCCATCCTCCTTAACTGTGAGACTGGGCAGGGGGAGCATCATTTAGAGAAATGGCCAAGAGGACCATAGAGTAACTTCATGGAAAAGTGTTAACAGGGAAGCGATTGTTGCTTTTTGTAACAGGAAATGTAGGACCACAGTAAATATCTGACCTTGATTACCTATATGAAAGGTATAATGGATGATTTTGGTTAATTGTTGAAAAGATCTGCCCTCTCCACTTTAAAAAAAATGCACATTCACAACCCTGTACCCGCACCCCACAGGAAATGCCTGGTAAACGCGTGTGAGAGCGTGCACAAGCCCATTTCTTCTTGTACAGGCTCTGTTAAAAGTTGCTCTTTGCATCGCTCATACAAGCTTACTTTCCAAAAGAAGATTTACAATTCTTCCCATAAGTCAGACAAACCATTGGTAAGTGAAAATGGGGACAAGCATGTAGGACGGCTTTACGTAAACATATCACCAGAATGATACACAGTTAGGAGGAAAATTTATTTTGATGATCCATCTGGAAAAAGAACATTCACCACAATACCTTTAAAAATAAACACTTGATGAGAATATGAAGCTAAATACATGAGAAGATGAGAAGAAACCTTGTTAGAGGCTGCCAAAGAATTGAGAGATCCCGGTTAGAGATCCACTTTCCAACAAACACATCGATCCTACTGACAGAGCTGCAGTTTAATGGTAGAGAGCAAAGTGCCAGTATGGCCCAATTAAAGCCCAGAAACGACAACTACGGTTTGACTCAACTATTCAGCATAAGGATGGTTCACACGGTAACATTTAAAGATTGAGTAACTTCCAAAACTTAAGAGACCCCACAGATGATAATAAAAAAGTTTGTAGAAAACAAACATGGTGGACAAAACAGATGGAATGGCTATAGTGTGTTTGACCGGAGAAAATAAAGGGAATACAAGAAAGAGTTGGGTAAAGGAGTTCAGAGAGTGCAGGTAAGTCCTCCACATGCTACACTATGATTAGGAGGTGAGTCATGTTTGATTTAAAGAATGTGAATACACACTTTGTTATAAGAAAAGCTTGCCTACGAATGAAAACAATTAGCTTAGATTTCATTACATACTTTTATGCATGTAATGTATTAGAGGAAATGACACCATTGGATATCAGTCCAAGGCAATCCAAAATGTTGGAATCTCCCAATTTGTGATCGGACTTTGTGATCCCTGACTTTCTTCCGAACAGACCCGATCACTTTTAACGCACTGCAGGATAAACTACCCAATATTGCGGCGACAGGGGCATCGGATGAAGGAGCTTGCCCTGCAACTGGAGGGATGTTTTTTCTAGCATTGTCTTTGGCTTTACTGTCGTTGTGTCTCTGGGCAAGACACTTCACCTGCATTGCCTACTGATGGTGTTTGGAGGGACTAGTGGCACCAGTGTACAGCAGCCTCCCTTCTGTCAATGAGTCCCAGGGTAGCTGTGATTACAATGTAGTTTACCACCATCAGTGTGTGCATGAATGACTGAATGTAATGTAAAGCGTTTTGGTCAAGTGACTTGAAAAAGCACTATATAGGTACAGGCCATTTACCGTGTGAAATCCCCTTAAGAATTTGGTCATATGTTGATCGGAAGGCCTGAATAGAAATTCCAGACATCATTTTTTAGATTTTAATCCATCAATCCATCCATTTTCTGTTACACTTCATCCCTGCTGGGGTCGGAAGGGGTGCTGGTGCCTAACTCCAGCTGTCTACAGGCGAGAGACGGGGTACACTCTGGACAGGTCACCAGTCCATCGCAGGGGAACTTTTAATCTTGAAAACCAAATATTCTTTATATTTTATATTCATCTCCTAATTTGTTTTGGCCTTTCATCTATTCCTTTCATCTATTCATGTATGCATTAACACCTATGTTGTTGAGCAGCAAACCCCGTTTTCTCAAGATCTTTTCCACAACATTTGCCTGAACTCCTCTTTAGAGTCACCAGCATTTTCAAAGAATGAAGTAATCATCACATGAAAATGTCTGTTGCTACATAAATGCATGATCCTGGTTGGGACATTTATAAATCAACCAGCTTACATGTTGCAGTTTGTGTGTGAGTCACATGCCATGTTTGACCTCTTACCGAAAACACACAACACAAAAAGTGAGAGCCCAAGCCAGGACAACACTCAGCCTGGGGTCGATGTCCCCTACTGTCCCGCTATCTTCACCATCTTCCTCCTCTTCCTCCTCCTGCTCCTCCTCAAAGCTGCAAAGCCAGACTTCTTGCAAGTTCACTTTATGCTTCAGGCGGTAGCTGGCCGGCGACCTGTTTCAGAAGAAGTAAAAAGAGAAGCTGAAAAATTTTCTGATTTCTATTTACATGTGCTTTCAACATCCCTGTGGTAAAAGTCTCAGTTCAATAAATGTCTGCTATATTTATAGACTATTTGTTCTGACTTTGTACACATAGGAATCAGAAAATAAAAAGCAAACACCATGGATGTAGTCTGCTGTTTTGTGGAAGTAGAAATAAAAGGGATTATTCATTGCATCGGTGTTATTTAGAGGCTAACTTTCAAGAGGCAATAAAAAAACTATTAGAATATTTATTCTCATTGTAGCATTACTCTAACATGTAAATGAATTCCTTCTAAATGCATTTCACTCTATGTACACGAAATATAAAAAGGTGCTAAAAACAGCTTCCTTAGGACTGTCTATAGAAAGATTAAAGAGAAGGATGGTTATATTCATTCTTAACCTTACAAACAATTCAGGCTGAAAACACATCTGAGTCAAGCCTCAGTATACAAAGCTTGTTTTGCAGCATACAGGGCCATCTTTATTTGTTAACACCCCTAGTAACTATTTTCATAAAGCCTAAAAAGGAATTGATCTTTATTCACAGCATCATAAAGAGGAAATCCTAAAATCAATAACTTATTTATGATAAAATCACAGGTAATAAATATTTTAAATGGAAAAACATGCGTAGGATCTTGCTGACAACCCATCTAGAAATTAACCTCCAGACTTTTTGCTAAAAAGATTGAATAAACATGTGAATTGTGGCTGGGGGGTGAAGGGGTAGACGTCCTCATTGTGATGTAAACAAACATAACTGAACCTGTTATTTTATAAATAATGATCTTTGACAGCATTCTTTTAGTTTCTCCCATTTAAGCTCCAATGGTTATTGATCCAAAGCTGTTTCAGAACTTCAAAGTAACATGAGACCAAAGCCAGCCACAGAAAATACAACTGGCATCCCGTGACCAAGCAACTGAGTCTCTCCAAAAGACACCAAAGAAGCAATATGAAAAATGAGTAATGATGCATAGAGTCATCCATGGAAGTAATCCGCACTGATGTACAGCTTTACTGTAGCGTGTTGTTGTCCCAGCTGTGCATACCTACAGGAACAGTGGGCAGGTTGCGGTACAGAGATGACTGTGAATGTCCTCCCACTCAAGGGCTGTAAAACTTCCACTGACTTACAAACAGATCCAATCTGCACTCTAAGGCAAAATGAGGTGAAAGTTGTTACACTTTGTTTAAGGGTAGTTTTGTGAGTCTAATAACAAAACAAAAAAGCAAAAAAAAAAATAGATTAGGCTTTTTTGTTTAAGATTTGTCTCTGGATCAGAACAGTTGCTTATGATTGAAAGTAAAATCAGATAAAATTTGGGTACTGTTTGAAATATCGGAGTAGAACACATTTTTTAAGGGAATACCGCTGAGTTCCCCCTGTTGTAACTTCTCTTACAGGGAAGCACCCTGCTTTCTTTTTCTATTAATGTCAGCTTAGAGTGAATAGATGTGGCTGGACTGCTTTGCTCGGAGATTCCCCAATACTCTAGGCGTACAGTTTAAAAATAAACAGTTTGCTTCTACTTCCCCTTTTTCATTCTGCTGTAAAACACGTGGCATTTTCAACAGAAACTTCTTTAAAAAACACAAAAGAATTACATATTCCTTCTACTTCACTTTATATCCTAGAGTAACCCTTGTCGCTCATGGTGTCATAGAAATGTAAGGATAACTCACTTTAGTTTTGCGAAGACAAGGACGTCCGTAAAGAGGAACAGGTGTCTCTCCTTGGTCTTTGTCCCCTCAGTGACTTGGACACATTCGTCCAGCAGCAGCTCGCCATTCTCGCTGGTCAATCCGAGAACAAACGGGCTCTGGTCAACAGACACCCAGAAGGGAGCCTCTTCCCTGAGCCAAAGGAAACACACCAAAACAAAGATGATTTCCAGAGCAGCCTTCAGACAGGCCAGCCTGTCACCAGTAAATGTATTCTAGGGGCTGTCTGTTCTGGACAGAGAAAGTCAAATCTCTAAACTGGTGGGAAATCACCATTTATTCAGATGGCATGGGTTAGTATCAGTATTAAATCCAAACAGGCTGTTCACTACAAAAAATGACCTAGAGATAAATGTATTTGTAATTAATTTGAACAGATAAAAAAGAATATCTGACAACGGAATGTGTTTTTGCCCTCAAAATAAGATAATGGAGCTTTTTTCTTATTATAAACATAAATCATGTTATTACTTTGGCAAATCATGTTATTACTTTGGCAAATCATCAAGAGAAAATACACTTGTTTAAAAATGGAAAAAGTGACTATGTTAGATTTCATTTTTTTGCAGTGTTGTGTTATGTTTCATGTCTTCTCTGTTTTCTTTTGTTGGTTTGCTTCTCTCTGTTTTGGTTCTCATTTTACTTGAGCTGTTAAAACCTCAGCCAGTTAAATAGTTCTGCTTATGAAATGAACATAATCACCAAAGACACGTTTTACGTTCCTGTTGTAAATCAAGGAATCACTTTAATTTAAATGAATAATTGTACATGTGGGATAACTCACTAAATGTTGCATAACACTGGAAACTTCTACTGCCAAGACAGAGAATACCACAAGTTGTCACTAAATCTTGTATGAAGCAGACCTGTGTTGATGCTGGCGACATATAAACTAACACTTGTTTGTTTAATCTCTAACTATTTAAGCTGTACAAGTTTTCCACTACATTAGAAACAGTCATACATCATTTATAAATAGGTATCACCATGCCAACTAAAGAAGTGTGACTCCAGTGAGTAAAAATGTCTTCTTTATTTGTTGAAATTCATCATTTATTTAATTTTCACACTTTTCACATTGTTGCTTTGCAGCAGGAAGGTCTTGGGTTTGGCTTTCTACTATCACATTGTTTTTATCTGAAACATAGAACACATAGCAAAACAAAAATGATACATATTCACAATTTTGCACATACAAATGGGTTCAAATGTCCAGGGAAGACGTTTCTAGATGTGAATAACATGAATACTTAATTTTCTCTTATTTTAGTTAGTATATATATATATAATACAGTTAGTATAATATTTATTACAGAAAATATTAATACAGACAAACATATATATATATATATATATATATATATATATATATATATATATATAAAAATTATAATCGTTTTGTAGCTGTCAGCTATGGGGAGCAATTGATACAAGGGTTGCAACTACCAATTATTTAGCAAACTGATTAATCTGTCGATTATTCTTTTTAAATCTTTTAATAATAGCCAAAGGTTACTTAAAGAAGATTTTTTCACTAAATTAAACCAGGTGAAACTAAAACTTTTTCAACTTGAAGAGTTCTGGATAGAGTATATATACAGATGAAAACATTTTTTTCTTAAATTCAAAATGTTTATATATAGTTCTTATGATTTTCATATAATTATATTCCAATTTTGATATAATTGCTCCCCAGGCGCCACACAATGGCACCCCACTGCTCCCTAAGGGGATGGGTTAATTGCAGTGAGTTAATTTCGTTGCTCGGCACTTGTGACAATGGAATGATAATTAGAAAAAAAAATTAAAAAGTAACGACGAATCGATTACTAAATTAGTTGATGATTACTTCAATAATGGATTAATCATGATTAATCTGATTAATTGTTTCAGCCCAAATTGATACCCTACCAAAGGAGGGTAAGTCATGAAAAGTCGTTCCAAAATAAGCAAACTGTTCATTGGGGGGGTGTATCAAGCGCCGTCGATGGAAAGTTAAGTGAAAGAAAAAGCACGTGGCTGACAAAAGTGCTCAAAAACCAGATAGAGGATGGGAAAGGTTCACAAGTACCAAGTTTCAGCTGTTTATGAACAGCAAAATTAAACCCAGATTCCACATTCATTTAAACCCCTAAATGTACCATAAAGAACTTGCAAACACTGCATTCTCCATGTTTAATAACACCACTGATCATTATGTTAGTGTGGTATTTAGACTGCTATACGCGTGAATAAGATGTGTGGTTTAAGATTTAATAATAGTGTCCATAAGAAAGAGATAGCTTAGAAGATGAACGACTCTTAACATTGTTTGTGTCCTGTTGGGTCTTAGACTAGTCAAAGCTGAGCTCAAACAGGTCACAATTATTGACACCCAGCGAGTGTGAAACCAGCTTTGATGTTTGCTCTTCCCACTGCCACATAAGTAGGAGCATAAATTCAAATCATTTCACCGGGGGTACTTTCCCTGTGTTTTCTTTGTGGCCTACTATAGATGACTCATAACATACAGACAAACAAGGCAGTGTGAGAGCTTTTGGTTCTCTAGTGTAAACAATATAAACAAATAGAACAAAAAGATCACTGAATATTGCCGAACATTTGCTATTTTATAAATAGGAAGTTTGCTTTTGCTGAAATTTAAACATACTTTTTACAACTTAATCCCCCAAAAAAACTATTCATACAATGTAAAGAAACAGACTTCTTGTGTTATATTCATGATAAATAACAATGTTTGTGTAGTTATCTTTTATAGAATGTATTAATACGAGTTTTACGTCACCTGCATACCCACCAGAGTGAAACTAACGCCCACAACAGCTGCCCTCCTCCTCCATGTCAAATGTCTTTGAACGCTGACTGGCTGGACCTGTGAGGGTGGGTTGTGTCTGACATTTGCCTCATTTCCTTTAAAGAAATCACCCACCACCGAGGGGGTCTTCACCCAGCCATTGATGATGACACCTCGGAAAGGTTAAACGTCTGATACAAAAGAGACGTTTATCTAGATCCCACGTCTAGAGTAGGTGCAAGGTGTTCTGGTGTTACTTAAAGGTTTTGACAAGATCAAGTCTCCTCTACATATTAGTACAGCCATAAATATCAAAAGCAAGAAAAAAGTAAATTGTTGGGATTCAGTAAATGAAACTATCCATCAAACCTCCTCCTTTCCATCCAATAATCTCTTAATTCTTACAGTTATTTTTTTTTTTTTGTTTCATGTTTTACCTGCAAATTAAACTAAAATCCACAAATGATTTTAAGAAGTATGTACATTTTGAGTGTAAGCCTAAATAAAAAAAAATACAATAACAGAGAAGTTTAAATAAATTCAAACAACCATCTGTAGTATTTTCAGGCCCGTTATCTGTTTGCCACAGCGTGGCTTGAAAGAAATCCAAGAATACAAACGTGAGATCTATAATAAAGAAATAATGTTAAATCAACACAAAATGCTGACCCAACACGCAGCATGGATGACACAAAAGTTGAAGTGTTTGTTCAAGACATGGTTTCAGAACCTCGCTGTGTAAACCCCCCTCACAGGACATCTGTGTTTGTGGCTCATAAGGCCGTGCAGAGTGGTAAACATGGTGGCAACCTGCAGGCGTCACACGTGGTGGGATCAGGGGGACAGGAAATGCATTTCTTTCTCCGTTTACTCTATGCGAGGTGTCACTTTCAAACTGTGCATGTGATGTGAGTGCTGCCACCTGTTTGAAGGGGTGTATGCGGGCTAAGCTCCGAGACATTTTTTCTGTGCATATTTATGTTTTTGTTTTCTCCTGTTATCCCACTGTTGTGCACAAACGCTTTAAATACCATGCTGTTTATGAGAAACAACATCCAGCTGTTTGATACCCTAATTGCTCATTCTGTTTAGTGATGACTAATTAACAATGATCTATAATACTACTTGGTATAAAAATTATTATGTGTGCTGTTAGTAATAATGAAAGCACATTTCTATTTCTAGGGGGACTATTTTAAGCACTTAAAACAAAATAAACACTGAAACTGTGAAAACAGAAAAATGGACGATTAAGAAATGAAAACCGAGGCAGAATTAATCAGAGATTAGTCAGACAAAGAAGCACAAAAGCCTCTAAATATATTTATAAATCGTAAAGTCTTTAAATTTTGAGTAGGTGACATTCAGAAACGTTTGTTTAACTAGAGTGTAAGTGATAAATCAATAAAAAGTAGCATCATTGTAAAGTAGAAATAAACTGATACATTATTTTTTTTTGTGACTTAATGAGGTTTTTATTTGCTACTGTAAAAATCTGAAAGTATGCAATGCGTCCAGTGCAACCGGATTATCTTAAGTAGCTTCCTAATTAGTAAATAGAGTCCAGAGATATGTGATCTAATGTCAACAAAAATACATCCTATCTGCGAAAAGCTCTGAGGTCTGTTAGGAAACATCACTGGATACCAAGGAGCAGATCAGACAGGTCAGGAAGAAGTTTATAAAAGGTTTAGAGCAAATATAACTAATTAAAATCTTAAACATCTATGTCCAATCAATGATCTAGATATGGAAGAAACAAGATATGTCAACCCACCTGGAGAAGTCAGGAAAGAAGAAAGTAAATCATAGAAGCACCAAAGAAGCCCATAATAACTGAGGTATTTTGTATGCTGATCCTTTTGTATATCTGCTTATTTCTGTATCTCTGCTTCTGTCTCCTTGAACCCCAGTCTGCCTCAGCAGATGGACACTCACACTAAGCCTGGTTCTGCAGGAGCTTTCTTCTTGTTTAAAGAGTTTTTCTCCCCACTGTCACTACAAGCATGCTTGGTGTGAGGGATTGCAGTGTGGGGTTAGGAATCTTTTGCTCAGGGACCCAGAGAGGCAGTCTGTGGGGGTGGGACTTGTACTCAAAACCTCTGGATTCCAAGTGCAATGCCTTAACTACTAGGCCGCCAATATATTTTTCTCCTGGTTAAATTTCTGCTTCCCTTGCTATGCAGATGGCACCCAACTCTTCTTGTCCATCAACCTTAACTTTACAGTCCATTTTTCTTCTCCCCACTGCTCAGTCTGAAACAAAGTATTGATTCTCATCAAATTTTCATTTACGCAGTAAGCACCAGTTCCACCCCACCATAACCTCTCTTAACACTCATTTCCATTGCCACCTATCGCATTAATTACTGTTACCCTCTTCTTAGTGGGAGTGGCGGCCTAGTGGTTAGGGCTTGGAATCCTGAGGTTCTGAGTTCAAGCCCCACTTCCACAGGCTGCCACTCTGGGTCTCTGAGCAAGACCCCTAACCCCCGATTGATCTCCAGGTGCCCCACAATGGCAGCCCACTGCTCCCCAAGGGGAGGGGTTAAACTCAGAGGTAAATTTCTCCAATGGGAGATCAATTAAGTTTAATTATTATTTTTGGTGCCCCACACATATCCCTCCATTGATAAAAAACTCATTTGTTTAACGGAGACGTTCACACGACGTATCTCTGTGGAATTCGGTCTGGTTTGCCAGGCCACAATTGAGTTTAACTGAAATTTTTATAATGCAACAGAAGCCATGTTATGACTTATCGCTTCTAAGCATTAATATAGAGTGGCGAGATTTTAAGATTGACACTTTTAGGATAAATGTTAGTCTGTATATAATTAGTAGTTCTTTTAATCGTCTTTGATGCTGCTCCAGTCTCTTGGTTTTGTGCCGGTTCTGCTTCTGGCCGTCTGTCACCTAAACTACAGCGCTGTTTTTTCTGACTTGGCTGAAGGAAAAAATACACTTTTTAAAAATGCACATTCAGTGGTGTTTGTGCAGCTCTATGTGTTAGTATTTCTCTTCCCTTAAGAAAGCTAATATTTTGCACCTATAATTATAAAAAGACACATACTGATGCTGTAAACAGAGAGGTACACCAGGATTTATATTTTTAAAAAGTAGATGCAACTACTACAGTTTTCATTTCACCCCCAAACACTTTGAAGGTCTTTTATCATGAAGCATAGAAACAAAAAAAAAATTTTTGGTAAGTATTGATATATAAAAGTCAATCTAAGAAGCTATTTTTTTTTTATCCTAATATTATGAATATCAAAACTAGATAGATAAATGATAAAATACATATCAGAAGGTGTGTGACCATTTCCTCTCACTCTTCAACATTAAAACAAAGTAATCACAACTGAAATTTAGAAATAAAACAAACATGATTTTCTTTATGAAGTATTGAAGTAGCAACCTCTTATCTTAACGTTGTTTTAAAGTAACTCACAAAAAAAAAATGCATGAGGAAATGAAATTATTTCTAAACATTTAGGACTGACTCAAAATCTAAACAAGACAGTTTTTGATGTTTTTTTGTCATCATTGCTCAAAACCAAGCTTACTTCTGATAAATCTGCTTGAGAACCTCATAAACAAACTATAGATAATATGTTGTAAGTACATCTGAGCAGGTAAGCTAAGGGCATTTCAGCACCTGAAGCTTATTTAATGTTTTGTTTTTACTGTGAGTCAGTGTTAGCTGGGAAATGAAGGTTCTTTGGTAAATATTTTGCTAAGTCACGACTGCTGACATTTGAAACTTTCCAATTAATTACATTAAAGTTGCAGCTGGTCTTACTGCTTAACCTATCAACTGTTTTGCAACAGTCTTTATAAAAAACAGAAGCTTCTTATTTGTTTTGTTTCATTATGATAAACTGTAAATACGCCTCCTCCATTTCAACATTAAAGATCTCGAATGAACACATGAGACCCAACTATACTGAACAAACTGAGGAAGGGAGGTGCCATAGTGCTTAACTGTAATTTAAAGGATTATTTAGTTTGACTAAATGCACCTTTACATATTTAAGTGTGGCAATGTCTTCAGGGAAATGAACGGACCTGATAGGAGACCATGGCATCCCGAGGGCCTTCCCAAAGACCAAAGATGGAGCAGAGCGTCGCCTCTGAGCCAAATGTCGGAAGTGCTGTTTAGAAAAACAGAAGTTGAAAGGTTCATTTAGTTGTTGCTGCTGTATGACACGAATGAAAAGCTGGAAATATAATGTTATGGAAATGTTCATAAGCCAAGGACTGTTTCCTCTCATGGAAACTACTCATCTACCCTACTTTGGTGAGGTACTAAAAAACAAAAAACATATAGAAGAATGAAACAACATGAGAAACATAAATATAACCAGAATGGAATTATAAAATACATAAAATTATAATTAGAAAATTGGAATGGAATAAATGTACTATATACCCGGTAATAACAATTAAAAACAATTTTCCAAATCAGGTTAAATATAAAAAAGTTCAGGCTGCCTTTCGATGAATTAAGAAAAACTACACGACAAAATGGCGAGGAACATATACATGTATTTTACCCTTGCTTTGATTGATTATAGTTGTATTTCTTATTAATCATTTTATTATCAAAATCCCATTAAGATTAAATTATTACCATATTTAAAACAGTATAAAATATAAACTACAATGCTACCTTAAACAGATTCCAATGAAGCGTAGTGATATACTCAGTTAGAGAGAGATTTTAAACCATGCTTTCATTTTTCATAACAGACTTAAACACAAGTTTGATCTTATGTTTGTGTGTAAAACAAGAAACAAAAAGAGTTCTCATCCCGGCTGGTTTGTGCTCTAATTGCTGGACTGATTAATTAGGTGAAGCACAATAGATGCTGAGGGAAAACACAGGAAAACAAAAACAAACAGGAACTGGAATGCTCGATAAAAGGGTCTCCTTCTGCAGCCCAGACCTCCCTGTCACATGTTGGGGAGGTGGGGGACATAAAGGGCCTGAGGTGACCCATATACACACCTGCCTCATACTTCTTTATGTATAAAAATATATCACAGCTGAATACTAGGTTAATATTTATTTGGATCTTGTTTAAAATGAGCCAAACCTCATGTCATTTTTCTGAGGGTTTTGTGATATAATTTAAGTGGGAAAATATCTGTAAGTTATTCTTTTTCTAAAAAATAAGCTCATTAAAGCTCAGATTTGAGACCTGGCTACCAATAAGAATCTGTAACAAAAGATGCAGCATTACCATTGATCCATGGCTGCCAAAAAAAAACCCAAAAAGCCATTAACCTCTTATTGGTTGCAAGCCAGAGTTCTCTAACTTATCATTTAAAATTATTATATTTTATATCTTCGTGACATCTTGCAAAGTAGCATATGTTTATGTTTATGATGGTAGGACAGAAGAGGCTTTTACCTGTAGATTAAAACAGTTTAATGTGAAGCCTTTTTAACCGTGATATTTCTAGTAAGATATTCTGCCTAAGTTAGCAAATATCTGTTTAGTTTACAGAAATGTTTTATGTACCACTCAGAACGTTGGTAAATAGACCTGCAACAAATTAAGTTGAGTTCAACTTGCTCAGTCAATAAAACATTAAAGTTTCTCTCTGTAGCCATCTTCAAAAAAAAAAAACCCCTAAAGGAACAGAGGGAGAGAAATGTTAGGTTTCATTATTCCCTGGAGAATAATTGGACTGGAGTTGGAGTGTCTGCCCTCAGTGTAATCAATGAAACTTGAATACACCAGGAAGTGGGAATTACAAGCTGGAATGTTGGGGCATCACAAGCCTATCTGACCTCAGTTTGTAAGATGGCTGCTAGTTGCCTTTACAGGAAACAATTTAATTACACTGTTTTAAGAAGTTCTTTCTCATTTATGTGACAATTACTTATACAAACATTCCTTATATGCAAAAAATACCATGTAGAACAGTTTTTTGCACTGTTATTATTGTAACAGTTTCCATTAAGAAATATTCAAGTGTCCGTAAGTGAAACCTAGAGTGCTGTCACCTCAGAGATTAGGTCTCTCACACTTTTTCAGCTCTGAGGTAAATCTGATGGAACAAAAGTAGTTAAGTGTCTCATTATGCCCCCTAAATTTAGCAGGCAGAATAGTGGACTGTACAACATTGATTAAGGTATAAAGTTACAAAGAATAAAGAAAAAAAAACATTAAAAAAATTTTAATTTAATCAGTTACAGCCAATTGAAAAATCTTTTTATATCTTATGCAGCTGGTCATTTAAAAAATCTCACTAATGGAGGACCCATTAACAACCTAGTTTTCTTTTCTAAAAACCAATCGCATCTTTATTGAAACATTTTTGATATTTCAGAGATCATTATGCTGTGCATGAGCAATTCTCCAATGAGCTTTGACACACAATTAGACCCACAGCATCACAAGTCTTCCACCATACTTTAGTGTGCCTGAAGTGCTGTTCCTCATGATGGTTGTTTATTTTCCCTCTAAGACCTAGTAGTAGTATTTACTGCAAAAATGTCGAATCTTAGTCCAACCTCACTTAAATACCCAGGTCAAGTCAGGGTCCCTGTAGAGTTGTTTAAATTTGTGATGGGGAAGAGAAGGATTTTTAGTGACAAGCTAATTTTATGTTAACGTCTCCTGACCCAAAACTCATCTATCTTACTTAAATGTTCTGTAATATAAGATTTAAATCAAGGTTTTAGCAAATCATATTTATGCATTCCAGGAGAATAGAAATATCCATCCATTTTCTCCAACTTACCCCTTGTCAGGTTAGCTGTGGGTGTCTATGGGCAGACTATGGGTGAGCAGCAGCGGTACACCGTGCACAAGTCGCCATTCTATCATAAGGCAACATGAAACAAACAAGACATACAACCATTCACACACACTCACACCTAAGGACAACTCAGAGATGCCAGTTAACCTTAAACTAACAGTCATGTTTCTGGACTGTGGGAGGAAGCCAGAGTACCCAGAGAGAACCCACGAATGCACAGGGAGAATCTGCAAACTCAATGCCGAAAGACCCCAGGCCGGGAATCGATCCCAGAACATTTTTTGCTTCAAAGCAGCAGGGCTACCCACAGTTCCACCGTGGAGCAATAATAGAATATACTATATAATATAATATACTATATATATATATATAATAACAATATAAATACTATTAATTAGAAGAAAATCAAAGCCTTTTGTGTAATTTGACAGATTAAAATGAAAAATTAGTCTTTACATTTATACTACAGACATTGGAAATTGATTGCTTTCCACATTTCCACAACTAAATTAATGTAATATCAGATGAGCAACATTTGAACAGTTTTCCTCTATGCATCAAAACCTGCAAGACCACAGAAACGTATCACCATATAGGACAGGGTGTGAGAGCATTAAGTGTGTAACAGTCAGTGCCCCCCACACAAGGATTTGAATCAATACTCACAGGATGTATGGAAGCAGCTGCATCATCATAACTGCCTCTCCTCATGGCTGCAGCTCCACAGTCTGTAAGGTCCATGCTGCTGATCTCCAAATCTTCTGCCGTACTGAGCTGCAGTTGAAGGTCTGTTGTCACTTCTGCAAAGTAATGAAGGAGCAGCTAAGTGACGCCTCCCGTTCTGCAAAACATTCTTTATGGAGTGGTGCTAATGAGGGTTTCAACAAAGACGGCTTGCCCTGGCACACAAAGAGAGAGAGAACGGGGAAGGGGGGTGGGTTCAGGAGGGGGCCTCATGGAGTGAAGAGTGCCAGTCTGAAGCTACCTACCGAACAACACTCCTGCAAAAACCCACCATGCCAGTCTGGGATGTTACGCTCCAGTAAGGCAGCTTCCTCCCATAATGAGACAGTCATGTGTCCCATTAGGGCCTTCCAACTTGTCCCCATTTCCAGGTTAATGAGTGTTAGATGCTTTGACAATCAGAGTCCCATAGATTGCTTTAGAACTGTTAAAAAAAAGTGTCTACAGAAACACTGTTTCTAGGAATGGCGCCTTTTAATATAACAGGGTCTAAAATTTACTTATGTTAATAATAATTGTGCATTTCCTGCCGTGATCAGTTTGTTTTTATTCAACAGATGGCTTTTCCAAAGCAAAAGTCTCATTAAGTCTAAGCTACCGTTCTCATTCCGTTCAGTTTAATTCAGAAGGCTTAGTGTTGGATTTGAAACTGATTATCTAAGAGCTCAAACACTGAGTCAAAAAATAAATATTAAAAATAATAAAATTAGCTTCATGTCCTTACCAATAATAAAAATAAAAAAATGTTTTAATGATGAATAATCACAGTGGAGCCTTTAACATTTCTGTCCTGCTGCTCAAGCAAAACCAAACAGCAATAAAATATTTGTTTCCCTAATATTCTGAAACAGCAAACACTTAAAAATATATATTTCATTGATAAACAACTAGCTGACCAGGACAGGTTTGAATATTTTGGGCAATCTAGGCTCAGTAGTAGACTGAATTTTAATAGCTTTCAAGCAGTAGCTTTATAAATTGACGCATATGTTCACTCTGCACTCTTCTAACACAAACTGCTTTTAAAAAAAACAACCTTACATCATACATGATATGATCTCTGGACTACATAATTATGATAGTCCAGAGATTGTGGATCTGAGGTGATCAAATGAATTGATTATTTCTATGAAGCTGTTATGCTTTGGTTATTTGAATGTATGCCAAAGTAATGCTTTTCTAGGGAATGTTTCTCCTGGATTAAAACTCCCTCAGCTGAGATGTTTGTTTTGGAAACCAGCTTCTGAAACACAATCAAAAGGTTTTCGATAAAGCCTTTAAATCGCATTATTTGACTGTAATTATAGGCTAAGCGACACAAATGCTCTGGGGCCGAGTCCTTAAGGAGGGCGGGACAGAACGCAGGAATAGTTACTAAAGGAGAGGAACCGAAACAGAACCAAGCAAACAAGCAGATTAACCATATAGGATCAACCTGGTTAAAGCTCAGTTTTGCAGTTTTAATACAAGTTTCACGTAATTTTTTTAAATCCAATTTATTTTATTATTTTTTTTTCTTTTCTACATCAGCTGCAGATGCCAAACCCTGTTTATCCAGCAAAAATGCTCTCTGCTATTTGCTAAAATTCCGTTCCGGATTCAAAGGAAGTAAACCTCAGATATCCAGAAGGGACCAAAGTAGCCTTAGAGAACCTCCAGACTCATGGAAACACTGCTGAAGCACAGACTAACATGTCCTCCAAATTCAAACTCTAAATAAGATATGAAAGCGTTTACCTTTCAGAGAGAGAGACATCTGATGAAGTTTAATCTATAATCAGTTAATGATCCTCTAAATGTTTATTTCCCTTTAACTGCTTAGATGTCATGTTTGTTTTCTTATCTGAAATCCTTTTTTTAACTATATTATTGTGATTAAACAGCTACTTTATTACTGATTCGTTCAAAGACTAGCTCAAAAGTCGGCTTCAGTTGTCAATTATGGTTGTGAGGATTTAGTTATTGAGGTATTTAAATGCTAATCTTGTAGGCAGCACTTGGTTAGCGCTGTCGCCTTGCAGCAAGAAGGTTTGATTCCTGCCTCGGGGTTTTTGTGCATGGAGTTTGCAGGGTGTCTCAGTGCATGCGTGGGTACTCTCCCGGTACTCCGGCTTCCTCTCGCACTCCAAAAACATTACTGTTAGGTTAATTGGATTCTTGAAATTGTCCTTAGGTGTGAGTTTGTGCATGGTTGTGTGTCTCTGTTTTGCTGAGACACACTGGCGGTCGGTCCAGTGCGTACCCCACCTTTATCCCATAGACTGAAGGAGATAAGCACCACTATGACCCTGACAAGGGCTAAGCGGGAGAAGATGGATGGATAGAAAAACGCTAATCTCAGTTCTTTCAGTGCAATAATTCAATTAGAGCGAATAAAACTGCACCATAAATGCACCAGAGTATTATCCCAGATCCTTCCTCCCAGCAACTCTGCTGACCATCACTGTTCCCAATAACCTCAATAGGTTCTTACATTGATGCTGATTTTTTTGCAAAGTTTCCCTCTTAATCAGTTAAATAACACGCTGCTGTCATTTCCTTTTTTTTTTGCACATCTCTGGTGTTGCTATTTTTTACCTATCCACCACTATAAAAATGTCCACAGATGTTTGATTTTTTTTATTCTCCAGATACACAGTGTTATATTGTAAAAAAAAAACACTGTACAGTTTCATACTACTAATACTTTCCTATCTGGTATTTTAATAAAGGTGCACATTGTGTGGTCACTTCTAGTATAACCTTTGCTGCTGTAAATACCAAATTTTTCCCATTGTGGGACAAAAAAATGATTTTCTGTTTTTGTATCTAATTCAAAATATGTAGAATAAAGAGAGAAGGCTAATACAAAAGCATTTTCAAGCAGCAGTTGAATTGCAACACTCTATGAGCTCTATGGGAAACTCTTTATTTTTTCCTATTTATTTAACCTGATCTCCAGCTACTGGGACCAGGCTCTCCAAACTAAAGCCAAGAGGCCTTGAAAAAAACAAACAGAACCTTTGACCTTTTGCTGTCATCGTGAGCTGGCTCCGATCCTGGAGGATTCAATTTGTTTGGAGAGCTTGGTGGTTCCTAGGTGCTCATCAAAAGCTCAGCATGAAGCCAATTCAGATGAGGCCTCAGTTGTTATGACTGCTCTGATTTTTGTCGTTTGTGCCGATTTGCTGCAGTTGTTAAATCCCCACAAACTGCAACCTGCTCAGCTTAATGAGCTGTCTTTGATCGATCCTTGCTGTGGAGCACAGTAACCAGCACATCTGCTTTCTGATTGACTTTCTAAGGTCATTTAACTGAAAGGACTACAATGCATCCAAAGCTACGGTAATGGCCACTGGAGCTGCGACAGCTCGCACCAGCAATTTAGAGTAAAAAATGAAGAAATCAGTGAAACAAAAGAGTAGATGTAAGGAAATAAATTTAGTAAATGGTAAATTTTTTGCAATCCTGCTTTGGTAAGTGGAAAATCCTGTGTGACAGATAGCTTAGAACTAAACATCAAAGCAGCAAACTCCTGCTTTTAAAGTTATTGCTGCTAAAACTCTTAAAGCGACAGCAGAGAAATGCAATTCAGCTTATGCATGATTCGGCAGAAAACACTGCGTTGTTTTGTGCCAGTCTCTCATCAATGCAGTCCATTGTTACAGTTACATCACAATCATCTAAGGCTGATTAGGCCTCTCTGCTCATCTTCATAAGGAACAATCAGGAAGCTTTGGTCTTCTGGAACATATTTCTGAAATATCAGCCACGTTCAGCTTCTCAGTTTAGTTGTATCATTTTGCCACACTATTAATAAGGCTACGTGTGACTTCCTCATTGGTGGCTGGGTTTTAGGTGTCATTCCTAGGAAAGATTCATGCTGAAGTGAACAGACTCCTTGCAACACCTTTTGATGTGTTATTTTACTATTTTCTATGCACACAGTGACTTTACAGACTTATTTAGGGTTTAAAAAAACCTCAAAATAAATGTATTTTATCAAACCATTTTTTAACAGTCTATTTTTAGAGAGGAAAATACCACACAAAGAAAAAGAGTAGACATAGAAAGTCTAAACAATGATGTTCAACTTCCTGCTTTTTTATATATAAAAAAGAAAAAAATCTTTGACCTCAAACCTCAAAAATATGTCAGGGCTATAAATTCTGCAAAACTCCAACTGCAGAAGTTTGAACATTAATAAGCAAAGACTCAGTCAATTCAGTTTTAGTAGTTAGTCATCCTGGGTTCCCCCCTGCTGTTAGTTGAAGTGACTGACTGGTTAAAGGGAAGCAATATAACTTATGAGGTTTGTGCCATTATCAAATAGAAAAAATCCATATAACATTTAAAAGCTTTTGCATTACCGTTAGAGGAGTAAAGCAGTGGAACAACCTGGATTAGGAACTTAAGCAACGTGGCGACAATTAAACAATTTAAAGAGATGTAAAGAAATTATTTTTACAGAATGTGTCAACAATTAAAATAAAGGAAATAAAAATAAGACTAAGGAGCATAATCTTTTGAAGACATTTGTGTTTTTTGAGAACAGAGTTGTATGAATTGTATAAAACTTATTTACCTCTGCCCACTCTTATTGTTTGTTAAAATATCTGAATAAATAACTGAAATAAAAAGGTCAAAAGTCTAGCAGAACCTCCCTGGCATGCACGTCATTTTGGGATGCCACAGGACACATGTCCCCTGCACTTTTTTAAAAGTCTGTTTTGGTCCCCTGCACTTTCCAAAAAAACTGTTTTACGCTACAGTACACAGACAAACTAGGTGGGAGCGCGTATGTACAGCAGCATATATGTACAGAATATTCTATTATCATTAATCTTGTTTTCACTTGTTATAATGTTCCTAATGTATTGTTCTATGGAAAATGTATATATATTAAAAATATATATATTTTTGTCATAGAACATCTACCAGTGTTTGATCTACTCTTCATGTGAAATTAATGTTCACTTACATTTTCTTAAAGAGAAGCCCTTTTTTATTAATATATGTTATTTTGCATTTAATAAATATGTCAGTATCTATTTCTTAAATGATTTATTACTGTTTTAACATTCAAAAGTGAAGTTTTAAAGTTTAGTTTTTTCCTACACATAAGTACTCAACATGGAAGGGAATCGAGCATTTTATTCACATGGATTCAACTTAAAGCAGCCGTTTCTGGCCGCATGGTTTTCAAAGTTTGAACTAAACATCTAAACGGTTTTAATAAATTGGACCTGTTGATGTTTTTAGTTCTTGGTATAAAGGAAGTAGTCTAGACCTCCTGAAACAACGCAGAAGGGCTCTCATTTCTAATAAAGAGGAAGGGTACAACACCGATTGATGAACGACGTCTGGAGGAGTAAGTCACAGATTGGAGAAGAAAACCGGAAGAAAATGTCTGAGTCATCTCTAATGACACATCATTGAGGGTAACTAGAAACCAACTCAAGAGTGCCAAGCAGAAACATCTATTTACATTCCCCCCAGTAACAGAGTATGATTACTTATATCCATGTGATAAACTTGGCATAAGTCTATTTAAAATCTTCCATTGTATTTTTAGCAGCAGGAAAATGGGATGACTTACAGCTGCATGACTGTCGAGTCTGCTTCATTATGGATTCAGAGTTCTTTAAAATGTCTCCAACTTGTATGAAGTCCGCTTGACTACACTACTAAAAAAAATAATCTATGGAAGAAAAGAAAATAGGCAAAAAGACACATTCAGCCCTGCAGTAATATTCAAATAAAGCAAGTTTCTTAGAAACCACGTTCTTTTTTTTTTCCATTACCACAAGAATTGCTGCATTATTCCGTCTTAAAAGCTAATTTCGTCAGAAACTGAACTGAATTCCTGGCCTTCCCAGCATTTACTATAAATCATATCTAGACCACCGAAACCTTTTAGCCTTCTGTGTCAATTTAAAATTCAGCTTTGAAGAGTTTGTGATCATTACCCATCCAAGAATAAAGAAGTTTAAAATTTCCCACAATCTAGGAGTTTAACCTTGAAATCCTCTCAATTTGTTTTTATTTTTTGTTGAAGTTAAACTGCCAGATGCACAAGTATCACTGACCCACAGCATGAGGCCCCACTACCAAACTACCGAACGTCCTCCTCTGCTTTCAAAGCCTCATCTTAATTTTTCCAAATAAAATTCCAAGCATCTGACTCAGATGTAAGGGGAGCCGAGTAGGTTGTTCATCTAAAATTGTGAAGCCTCTGTACTGTAAGCGTCATTGTTTGCAATGAAGAGTGTTTAATATCAAAATGTAGAGAAGAGGTTGGTGTCAGCGAAGAACCACCACCTGTTCCGAAGTTTACATCTTCAAACATTTTCTAATATGCAACCAACCATCACATTTATTTTCAGAGGAGGAGGTGAAACTTGAGACGGCGAAAAGCTTCTAAATCTCCTCACATTCTAACTACTGTGAAGTACGGTGGTGGCAGCATGTTGATGTGCTGCTGTGCTTCCACCGATAGCTACTGGTGCATGACAATAAATGGGTTGAATAATGAGGGAGGAAGAGTACCTCTAAATTTTTCAGTTTGATCTCCAATCAACAGCTAGAACATTAAACTAGAAACAGATTTGGGAGTTCAAAAAAAAAAAAAAAAAAAAA